TACAAAATACACGATAAACAAGCGATCATCGTCGTCGACTTCAATGGGCACCATCCGGACTGGGGCAGCCCTCGCCCAGACGACCCCAGAGGTTCTACCCTGGTGAACATCTTCGAGAGTGAGGACCTGGTGGATCTGAACGACGGCGCTCCCACCTTTTTTAATGGACGACACACCACCGCGATCGAAATTGCCACTGCCAGTCGATCTATCGCGAACAGGACTTTGTGGAATATCAGTAACGACCTGCACTGTAGTGACCATTACCCGATCCGCATACAGCTTTCCGTGGGTGCGAACCCTCCAACGATTCGGAGACCCAGATGGCGCTACGAGGAAACCAACTGGGACGACTTCAGGGAGAAATCCGACGCTCTCCTTCTGCAACGCGATCCAAACGACATCTCCAGCTTCACGGAAGTACTCTACGAAGCTGCAACAGTATCTATCCCAAGGACAAATTGGTTCCTGATCCAGAACTGTGTTGGAGCTCGTCGTCAAATTGATAAAGTGACGTGAACAATAAATTACAAAACGAGAACTAATAAACAGTTTGGAAAAAGACATGGCATCGAAACAAACATTACCAAAAGAAAAATTAAAGTAGTGTTTAGATTTCTTTCTCGTGAAGTGCAACACTGGAGACGATTAATCGCAAAAAGAAGACAAGTGAGTGAGGAGGAAGTCCTCGCGAAAAAGGAGATAATCGACGCTGTGTTCCGGGTCGCGGCGGTAGCTGTCCAAGAGATAGGATCACCGGGAGAGATGCTGACTCTGGATTTTCACCACAGAGAGCTGATCATGATGCTGGAGTAGTATAAAACCATAATCGGTCTCTAAAAGAAAAAAAAGAAGGAAACGGAGAAGAAATGGTGTGAAGCAGACAGCAGCAGTATTCAACAACGGCCAGGTATAATTTTTTTTTTTTTTTTTTTTTTTTTCTTTATTAGAGTGACTTTCAGCCACTGGCTGGTTCGTAGGTATAATTAAAAATAAGGTAAAATAAAAACAAAAACCCGAAAATGAGTGGGTAATAGATAAGAAATATGGAATGGATAGATTTTTTGAAGTGGAAGATGCAATATTTAAGCTGCACCAGGGTTTGAAAAAATTCAGCAATTGAAACAAAAGAAAGGAAGGCAGCTGATTTAACAAAAATTTAAAAGAAGAGTTGAAGGCAATTGTGAGAGATAGTTCCATAGATTTTGCGTCAAGAATTCACTTGTTTTCTAGATACAAAAAATTAAGATCGGTTATCCATGATTGTCTGAAAATACTTCAAGCGCCTTTGGACGAATCGACGTTAGGGAATTTATTCAGTTCAGAAGTTGAAGGTCAGGAAAAGGAATTTGACGGAATTGAAAGGAGCAGCGCACGGTGCGATTGATAACTCAACAACCGTTGCTGATGCTCTGCAAAAATTGCGCCAAAAATGCGCCATTAAAGTCACCCCCAGAGCGGTTCAAAATGAGATGAACGCTCTAAAACAGAGTCAAAAGTCAATATCTGACTCAATGGGTATACCTTTCCAAATGAGGCTGCAGCTGTAAACATTGTGGAGCCAATTGCGGTTCAATCTATTTATTGCTGGGTTGAAAGACCCGTCGACCAAGTTTTTCCTGAAAGCGAGAAATCCGTCGGCTTTAAATAAGGCAATTTCCGATGCATTGGAGTGTCAGACGACAAATGCTGATACTAACAATGATAATATGATAGCACTGTGGTGCACATCAAATGGAATGAGCCTCAACAGTAGCTTTCATGCGAGAGGTCGCAGAGTTTACGGTAGATATCGCGGGTACCAAAATACTCGTGGTAAAGGTTACGGACGTGGTAGAGGACAATACCAAAACTACCACCAGAGAAATTTTGACCAAAATTACCAGCCTCAATTCCATCATAATGGAAGAGGGAGCAGAGGCAACCAACCACAACGTTGCGGAAATTACAGTAATACTGGTAACGGTCACAGGGTACATACGGCAAATGTGGCTGAATCCGTCCCAGAGCAACCACGTGAGCGTCAACATGTTAACCAAAATCAACAACCCAATCAGCCAGCAGAGGAGGCTAATTTAATTGATCTCTTTCGCTAATTTTAGCGCAAGGAAAGCTCTTCGAGCAAAATTTATGCTGTTTAGCAATAAATTAGAATTAATAGTATATAGCGGAGCGTCCTGTTGCCAACTTGATAAAAAGTATGTTCCAGAAGGTATCAAAATTGACAGGTCAGTTACCATTGATTGAACAGTTACCAGTTAGATTGAATACTTTTACGGATGTTCCGGATCTTCCGGAGGACGGTCTGATGGCCATCCGAGTCCATTTTTATGTCATGAACCCAAATTCTTTCTTATATCACAGTTCCTAATGTTTTCGAAAAAACCGCGGAGTTCTAGGATCAGGTTTATGGATAGACCACTTGTACGGATGTTCCGGATCTTTCGAGGACCATTCCGTTATCTCCAGGTTCATTATATGTAGGAACCATGTCTGTAATCTGGCTTATTATGAACATTTGTGCCCATTAATCTAAATTATGGATCTTAAACCACTTGCAAAACCCAAAAACACACCTTTAAAAAAAAACGTGTAACGACTCTTTTCGCTTTTGAAAAAAGTAGAAGGGTCTGGCCTAGGGGCACGAACGGAAGCTTGACGTAGGACCGCTAGTGGACGGAATAAATGTGAAGAGCATTTAGTTCTTTTAATTGATCAATTATCTATTATCTCAGCTCTTTCCGTTTTTGAATTGTAGGCGTACCAAATTTGTAGTATTTTTTTTAAAGAGAAAGTTGATACAGAGAATCAATCAAAATCACTTGCACCCCTGCTTCCAAGTTTGGTTACAAGATTACAACTCTGGAGAGCATTTTGTGTGGTCGTTGGGGGCTTGTGGTTCTGAATATGGACAAACAAGCACAGATAAATTCTATTCCAACTCTTTACTGATGTAAGCTTGATGGCCCTGAAAAGGGCCGTTTTGTTGAAGAGGACATCCATGGCCACTAACGCTTGGCGTGTTTAGTGTAGGTGATAGCCTCACGGACCTCATTTTCCAGGAACACCTTCAGCACACCTCGTAGATCAGACCGGAGATACGTTTGACACCACCACGGCGAGCCAGACGACCGATGGCGGTTATCTCGAAGAACTTTGCGATGACGCTTGGCACCTCCTTTACCAGACCTTTTCCTCCTTTGCCACGACCAGTCAATTGTTGCTTGTTAGGTGTGAAGGAGTGGACTAGCCACCACCTTCCTACTGCTGCTGCTGTCCGAAGCAAAAATGAGCTAATGCCATACGGCAGCGCTCTTTTATATCTTTTCAGATTAAAGCAGAATGTGTGCAACCAAGTGGTATAAAAGCTACAAAGACTCCTCCCATTATGAGTAGTTTGCTATCAAGTAGCGACACTGGCTCTTTTCCTTTTGCCTACACGGCGAATGAGAACGACCCAAATTTGAGTTTGGTTTACTCATAATCGCCAAAAGTGCAGGAACTCAGCGATGAGTAAATTTGCCTCATGGTTTCCTGTGGAAAACCTAAAAAATCTGCCAGAAAACGAGGAAATTGACGAAAATTTTATTTAGTTTCGGAGTAGTACCAATAGACTGAGTGAATCCAATCTTAACTTTTCTCAAATTCGGGAATTTTTCTCTGGAAAATACTGGAAAAACCTGGGAAAACATGAGGCAAATTTACTCATCACTGAGTTCCTGCATTTTATTTCTTATTTCTGAGATAACTAAACTCAAATTTGGGTCGTTCTCATTCGCCGTTATATCACCTTGAAAGGTATCGGCGCCGGTGATTAGCGTAATTACCTCTCACCCCAGCAGGCCTGGGTCCAATCTCAGTCGGCGCCACCGGCATGTTCTAAGGCATAACATCTCTGATCACGCCTTCCTTCGGGAAGTAAAGCCGTAGGTCCCCGGTTGAGTTGATGGGTCGATTGGTAGGGTCCAGGTGTATCAGTTCAATGACTTTTTGGCACTGCCGGTACAGCTGCGGCACACTGAGGTACACTGATAAAAAAGTTGGCGCAAAACAAGTGTGTAGAGTGACCATCCCTTGTCATCAGCAGCGAGTGTAGCGTTTTGCTTGTGAGCAGTGACCATTACTAATGATTGTTGTTGGCCATGGCTCTAACTGTCACTGCGTGACAAAACGATCTGTCAGCGATAGTCGGTTGGTGCGAAGACGAGTGTCACGTGAGTGTCATGATATTTTGCATCACTGGACACTGGCAAAGGGGTAAATAACTGTGAAAGTGCATCTATTGAGAGCCGGAAAAACGCTCGTTAAAGAAGCGGCGTAAAAAAAACCTAGAAGAAGAAGAAGGGCTTATTGGTTACTTGGGTAATAATTCGCGAAGGACCATGCTCCTTCTCCGACTTTTAAAAACCCGTGATTCAAAGTTTAGACTAAACACTGATCGCTCGACTTCAAAGTCCCCCTTGATTGGCCACCATGAACGGAAAGATTGAGATCATTTTCAATTACAAAAAAAAATCTCGATATTCTGCTGTAAATCTTCTGTAAATTGGGAAAATAAGCTTCCGTTCTTCAACTCATTACCCTTCTCTCATTGGGCTAGTTGTGATCCATTGGATGAAAATATAAATTCGACATCGTTTCAGTGCCACTCGCGATGATGATGTGTGTATGCATGCATTTTTTTTTCGGTATAGGTACATAATAATGCAGTTCGGTTAGACGTGGGTGTGTGAGTGTGTGTGTGTGTTGAGTATGAGAAAGAACCGAAATCAAATCTACTCTAAAGTTTTGGTGTTGCATAACAGTGAGCTGCTGAATTATTACGACTTTTAATATTTCGATTTCTTCTTCTTTATCGTTTGTTTTCGTTTTTATTCTTTGTCGCATTGCTGGTTACTTTAAATCTTCTCATTGTTTTAAATGTGTGTGTGTGTACGTAATGCATATAATAAACTTTGAATCAATTGTTTAAATGTGATTATTCTCGGTATTTAACAACATTTTTCTTCACTGTTTTTTTTTTGGGCTGTTAAATAGGGCTTTATCTGTGTTTTGTCTTCCGAGGAAAGGTTTCTATATAGGTTGTTATTTGTTTTGCTTTCGCTAGATTGACTCTCTTCCTAGTAACAGTTGTAAATAAGAGTGAGTAGAAATTTGTTCTTCTGTTAAGTGTCAAAGTAGAACGATTGTTCGTGCGCTTCTCTAATTTATCTGTTCTAATAAAATTCATTTTACGTGATTTTTACTTGGAGAGAGGAAGAGCTTCTCGGTTTCACCCGTACGTTTGTTTGTGTTTGTGAGTGTGACTTCAGCCTGGAAAACCAGGTTGCTACGATCGATCGATCGGAGAAGATGCATTTGCTATTGTCATTGTTGTTGATGTCATTGTCTGATTGGAAAAGAATACTAATTTCACACAAACTCAAACCGCTATTGCTCGCAATTGGACCTAACATTGTTGTTCGACATCCTACTTAACGATAAACGGAACGATTATCATTACAGCTTTTGGAAAGGGGAAAACAACTAGATGACACTCGTGATCTTTAATGTTAAAGATTGTTTCATTTTTGGCTTACTCAACAGTATTCATTTAGTTCATCTAAACGATTACGCTTTTGATCGGCTTAATTTGCATTTTTTTTTCTTCTTTAAATATACTCCACACACATACAGACAGACATATAAAAGGCTTAGTATTGTTTGTGTTTCCTCACTTGGATTCTAGATTGCTATACAAATATATATAACAGTAGTAGTTTGTTGTAGTAGTAGTAGTAGTAACACATACCAATTTTCGTGAGGGTTGGATTGACATTGAATATAGTTTGACGTTTTCCCGAATCGCTACATGAAAAATATTTCACAACAGAAAAAAGAAACTGAAACAAACAACTACCATTTTACTTCTTTTGGTTTTTTTTATACACGAATGATGAACGACGCCTACGATGACACATGTCATCGCGTTGCCTTTGTCACATGGTTGCTGTGATTGTTTTAACAATACTTTAGGATAGCTACGCCTAGTTTTGTTTGTTCTGTTCTTATCTTAATAAACGACTCTGCGCAAACCATTTGCCTATCGTATCCTAGTAATTAAGGTTAATTTTTCTTCATTTTTTATTGTTTTCTTCCATTAAATCTGTCCGGTTGTATAAACATCGCTAAGTTATTACTTTCATGATTTCCTTCTTCGGATATAAAGAAGTACAATACTAAATTGACACATTTATTCGCTAACCCTAGGAATTATTTTTGCTATAATTTGTGTTGTGTGTTTCACGACTGCTCCACACCGAGTCCGAAGTGGCGATTTTTCCACTTTCATGTACCTCGGGTTACTCCATTACTAAATCGGTTGATCCAATTTAATCATATAAAGTGCCATTTGTCCCCGATCGAATATTTGAAAATCAACCGATTTAGGAATCCAAGCGGCACTTCGGCCTCGGCGTGTGCCCCAATACTGACTTGCCTTCTTCGCGTTCCAAAGCAAAACAGATGAAAAACCGAAACTAATACTCAAACGAATAAAAAGTACAACAATGAAATGACCGCACGACGCGACGGACACAGCAAGCCGTTCCGGTTAACGAAACGGTTTGCTTTGTTTGTCGCTTGCGGAACGAAATCAAAACCGCATCCCATCCAAGTCAGCACTGACCGCGTCCTGTCATTTCGAAATAGGAAAAACAAAACGTGGACCTCCATCGCTTATTGTATGTGTGTGTATAATTGTTATAACTCCTAAGGATTAAAATATTTCTTTTGTTGTTACTTTGTTCATATCACTGTCAAAAAACAATTGTTACTTGTTTTCTGTCCCTCATATCATATTTAGCAGTACGATTTTTTTCTCTCTTTAGAATTTCGTCACCGAAAATGTCCCGCGGTTTAAGCCAATTCGTTCCGATTGAACCCGTTTGTTGTTGCTTGCCTAGGTGCTACACTAAGCAAGAAATGCTTTCATAAATACTCACGAATAATAAGAAAAAAAAAGAAAACGAAAAACACAACAACTAACTAAAGACTGGTATTAAAATTGATGTGAACTAAACCGAAATATCGCAAAACAACAATACTTGAAGAAGAATACTGCTGGAAACTTAGGTGTCCTTGCACTTCATCTTCAGCAGCGGTTCCTTGAGACGACTCGGTTCTATGAAGCAGGACCGAGATCGCAACAGTAACCGCTAGTTGGACGATCCATTCGCGTTCCGTTGGCCACTGGCGGCGGCGGCCGAGGCATTGGCATTGGAATTGGCATTGGAGGCGGCCGACGATGAGATCAGAACGTTCGCTTTCGAGGCGTCCCGTTCGGTGCCGTAGATTTTGCCGGCCTTCTTGGCCATCGAGCCGAGCAGTTCTTGGCTTTCCTTGTGGGCACCGCGCAGCGACAGGAACCACTCCTTGAGGCCGATTTCGTCCTGCGAAAGGGGGAGAAAAGATCACATTAGGCGAATGGGAACAATGGCAATAAAGAACAGTTCCACGCCAAAAGACGGCTCGACGTTTTCCGATTTGCATTAATCTCTAGTAGTAGCAGAAAATCAAGCTAAAAATATTTTTAAAAAAATTGACGTGTGAGACAGAAATCCAAAAAATCCAAATCCAAATCCAAAAATCCAAAAACAAAAAAGTTACTTATTAAATATTTTCGATTTTTTTTTTATTAAAAAGCTCATGAAAAATTCAATTTTTTGAATCATTGAAAACCATGGACACTAAGACATTTACAAAAAATCGTAGAACTTCAACTTTAAGCCAAATTTCAGATGTTTGTTTAAAACCTTTTAAATCGTTTTTTGTGCAAACATTTCTAAAATTTAGACCAAAAAAATAAGTTGACCAAAAGTTGTTGTTCTACAATTTTATTCAATTTTTAGGAGTTCATGGTTTTCATTGTTTTTGAAGTTAGGATTTTTATAGTAAAAAAAATCCTAAATATTTGAAGATGTAGGTAAACATCTTTTTCAAGCTAAATATGTCAATTTCTTCTTCTTATTTTTCTTCTTCTTCGCATTTCAAGCTTATTGCATATCGCATATTAGCTTATTGCGTGCTCTCAACTTAGTGTTCTAGATGCACTTCCACAGTTATTAATTGAGAGCTTTCGATGCCTGTACCATTTTAGCATTGATATAATTGTGTGGCAAGTCCAATCATACTTCTATGCCTAGGGAAGTCGAGAAATTTTCCAACCCGAAAAATTCCTAGACCGAACTGGGAATCGAACCCTTGCATGGTCTTGCTTGGTAGCTGCGCCTTTACCGACTGAGCTAAGGGAGGCCCCAAAAATATGTCAACTTATCATACCGAAATTGAGTGAAAGTCCCGCGTAATCAAATAAACAAAAAATAAATGATAGTCACAGTTAATTTCAAACAATTTTTACTCTATAGATATCTCTACAGTAAAAAATACTCTGAATAATATTCTTATACATCATTGCATGAAAAAAGTAATACTTAAACAAAAACATGCTCCGATTTCACTCAAACCTTGCACATTTGTTAGTTATCAAAACATTTTAGACCGGTAACCTTCTTGAGTTAGGGTGGTCAAAAAAAAACAACTTTTTTACCTATATACCCGACCTAGAAAAGTCATAACTTTTGAACTACTGAAGCGAATCAATGGTATTAACATGAGCTATCTAGAGAAAAAATTGGAAACTGAAGGTCAAATTAGTTTTAATTTTTTTTTTCCTTTGGTTTGTTTTTTTCCGTCGATCTTGTTTTCCGTGCTGAGCACCAATGCTACCGACGTGCCAGGAAGGCAGCTCCCACACCTGGACCCTACCTATCGACCCATCAACTCATGAACCGGGGACCAACGGCTTTACTTCCCTAAATTAGTTTTAAAATACTAGAATATTTTTTTTATGGATTTTACAGTTTTGAAACTAAAGCGTGTTTATTTTTTTTTAAAAAGCTCATACTTTTTTACTTAACATATAACAAATCCAGGAAGGCAGTATATTGCGTTTTTGAAATATATTTTTTTTATAAAATAATAAGTCTTATGTTTTTGCTTCAAAACTACCATGCGCCTCCATAAACCTTTTTAATAGAAACTAAGCGATCGATTCAACCTCTGGTGGGGAATAGGAGAACGTCAACAATAGTGACATAAACATAGGAAGCGGAACACTTTTTATTTTTCCTGATAAATTGATTCATCTGAGATGCTGAAAAAAAAATGGCTGAATAAAACGGTCCCCATTAAAATTCTCAATATTTCATTTATTCCAAAAGTAAGTTTTACGATAATTGATCATAATATTCGAGAGTAAGTGTAGATTTATTCAGCATCAGCTTATTTAAAATGGGAGCTTTTTGCTAGAATAAGCTTCGTCAAACAATCAGCAACAGTCGAGCAGCTGGCTCGAACGATTTCTTCAGAAACATCGTCTCAGGCTCTTTGTATAGCGTCCTTATTGCTTCTTGGTTTAGCACTACTCGCCCTTTCTACGATGCCACACATCGCGATATCTAGCGGGTTAATATCCGGAAAAGAAGGAGGCTTTGCTCTGAGTTGCTTTTTTGCAGCGAGTAACTCGCGAGTAACTCACTATACCTCAAAATTTAATCGACGTTCATCGATGTTTTTGTCTGGTTACTCCGTTTATCGCTTTAACATATTAGACGTAAGTCTTGTTTGTAAACAAAATAGAATTGTTCGGCTATTGAAACGATGTGAATTCCAGATTTTGTTCTGAAAATGGCTTGAACGATGCTGGAAAAGCTTCGAAATGCATTGGCCATGGCGTAGCTAATGGGGGTGCCCCCTCCAGAATGATCTAAGCCCCCTCCAGAATTTTTTGAAGATTTATATAACTTAAATTGTTGGTATTAGCATCTCAAAAAAAAAATCTGAAGCGAGCGTGGATCATTCTGGAGTGAGCCAGGCACCCTAGGCACCCCCATTAGCTACGCCAAGGCGCATTGGCGTGGATTTTCATCTGCTTCTCTGTGCTGATTGGCTGCTGTTGCTGCTGTTATTGTTTTGGAGCTGCTTTTTGTTCGTATTCCTCCGTTTCAAAACATTGAATATGAATTAACTGTAGGTATATACAATTTGTCCTCGTAAAATAACCACACGAATCGTTTTCAGATGTCCACCGAGGAGAACGTGAAATCGTTGTGGGAAATCACTGGCATACATAGGAAATATCTCCCCTGTTGGATAAAAACCGATTAACACCCGATTTACAATTCCAGCTCCGAAGGAAACGCTGCCAACCTGCTGAAGTCGAAGAGGAGGAGGACGATGAAGACACAGCTGCCAATGTTTCCGGTGAGTACGATCCTCATCCGGACTTAAAACCCATTATCGATATACTCGATGAAATCGAAGTGAAAACCGGTGTTTGCGTTCGGTCCAAGCTACTGCAGATGGTTCAGAAAGAGTGGTAGGAAAGGGTTCTTGGCGATCTGAAGATTCTTAAGAGTAAATCCGATCCAACTAAGTACAGAATAATCGCTACAGAATTTGCTTCCGAGAAACCGAAGAACGAAACATGCTCCGAATGTAATTTCTTCTGGATGAAATATTTTCTTTTTTTTTTCTTCTGGATGAAATATTTTCTTTAAAGAAGTTATGTTCCACTTCAACGGAGACTTCCTTTGACGGCAGTAGCAGAATCTCGGTGGTGTATCGCAGAAAACGGCCCATTTCACGATCGCAGTTTCATCTAGTGGCATGTTGTTGAGCGATGGGAACGGGATCGCTTCGACGAGTATCGGAGGTCGGCGGTGTACGTATAATTTGGCGGATCTTTAGTATTTGGTCAGGTGGATCGAGTTCTTCTACCACATCAAGTCGGTTGTTTGTTGTTGTTTTGCTTGACAGCAGCTTTTCGGCTTCGCACCTTCATATGTTGCTGCGGTGTGAGAAGTGGAGAAAGCAAATGACAGTCATTTTGCTCACTGAGCAAGGTGAGTTACTCGAGGTGCCTCAAACGCAGCTCTAAAATTGCTCATGATTAGCTGTCTTACCTTGTAACGTTCTTGTCTCGTCTAAAGAAAACGGCTTATGCGCCACCTCCAGATAGAAGGACCGTTATCTCTGACCAATAGCCCGGCATGAGACTGCCTTCTCAAGGCAGGTCAATACAGTTTTTAAGCGAACCGAACAACTACAAATTGACCCAACCGATGAAGCAAACTTAACCGTATTACTCGAGTGATTACTGTACCAAAAGAACCAATTTAGCTATTGCAATAATATCGAGCAGTAGTGGTGTGTGTCTTAGCGAAATAGACCAACCAATTCACCAATAATCATACAATTCGCCGCGAACAGGTGAAGTGTGTACTAAAATAGAAGTATTCAGTCTTGTTTCATAATTTCAACGCAAAAATGGAAGAAAAGAAAAAGATAAGATTATCAGGTTTGTTTCAAGCTTTACAAGTAAGCAAAAGAATTTAAAATTTATTATTATTTACTTTATCAGGTTTAATATCCAAAGGAAAACCCTATCTTCTAGTGGGTGACGTCACGTCTAGCTCTGAATAATACTTTTCATTCGTAGGAAAATTCAAACAACTTTCTTCGGTCAATTTATTCTTCGGAAACAGTACACTTCTTCTGCGCGGTGACGGTCCCACGTGGTCCGGCGACGAAGACCGACGACGTCTGGAAAGTTTCAACTACGATAGCTACGGGCCCGTTTTTAGAAGCGGATTATTTATCTTGACCGTTATCGAATGGACTCGGCTAAACCCGTGGGTATCGACTGGTTCAGGGTGAATGCGTCCCTGTATTCAGCGGAGTGACGAGCACGTTGACGAGGCTCGATGTCGTACCACTTGGCAAAACGGGCAAAAATTGGGAACTCGAGCAGTGCTACACGCTCGAGTAAGCCTGAACGCAAACCGTAGTTTCGTTCACCGACAGAGGTCCAATTAAAATCTCGAGTATCAATTTATATTGCGCGCGCAAACGGTCGTTGGACGGGTATAAACCTTCCGTCACACAGGGTCTACTAAACAGTGACTTACCGCTTCTGTTCCGACTTGGGTTGCAGACAAACCTTGATTCGCCTGGGAAGGTGACCCGAGGTACTTCGGTCAAACCTTCACTCGACTGGGAGGTGACCAGATACGGCGGTCAAACCCTCGAATATCCGGTCTCGATGCACTCCGGACGAACTTTCGAGTTTCCGGATTCGCTGACTCCAGACAAACCGCCCTCGTTGGATGGGCAGGGCCTATTCAACGCAGGTAATTAATTTTCTTCCCTTAAGGTCGAACTAGTTATAGTTTTTTTTGGCTTACCTGAACCAATTTCAATAATTTTGCACAATTGGTTTTGAACTGTCGATTTAACAAAATAACTTAAAAAAAACCTGTAATTAAATAAATCGCACTGAATCACTGAATCAAATTTAAATTTACTGTCCCGGAAATTACTTCGATTTTAG